CATTAAAGAATCATAAATAAAAAATGATTCTGCAAATACATGCATGCAATCTTCATATTTATAGACTGCATATTAATAAAAAAAGTACATGAGGAAATTATTATGAACACGGCAAATTTAGACTCATACTGGTATGTATGTAGGTGACATCAACTAATGTTTGCCACTTAATAGCAATATTCTGAAACAATAACAGTGGTGAAACTCACCAGAACATTATGACAGTTCAAAATAATTCATACTGTACGTGGTGTGATCCTGCCAAATGTACGTGCCCCTTTCTCTATCAAAAAAATTAGAACGATGTCCTGTTTGAGAGGATGTGGTGAGATGGGAATGCTTATATACTGTTGGTCGTATTGTAAAATATCACAACCACTCTGGAAGGCAGTCGTGTACTTCCTCAAAAAGGCCGAACATGGAAATTCCATATGACTCAACTATTCCATTGCTTGAGAAAATGAGAAGTGAAACACAAACGGACACTTGTAAACCAGTGTTCATAGTGTTTTTCACCATCACAAGGACATAGAAACAGCTCAGATGTCCAACCACAAACAAATGAATTGAGACGTAATGGTCCATTCACACAATGGAACACAGGAGCAATGATTTTATAAATTATTAGCTAGCGTGGGAGGGACAGGAGAGTATTATGCTGAGTGAGCTCAGTCTGCCAAGAAAAAAGATTGTGTAAAACCATTAGTGTAGACTGAATATCAAGATCTGAGGGGAGGTCAGGGTGGAAGCAGAGGGGTCAGGATGCGGAGGGAAGGTTGGAGGGGATAGATGAGTCATGGGCTTTGATGGGAGGGGCTGAGGGAAATTGTACGGCAAGGTTGTAAATAAAGTAGTATAATAAAAAGAAAAAATTAATCTCCTCCTGTACCAGTCAGATGTGATTTGATGGTACACTCACACAAAAATAATAAATACTAAATAAATACAAAATTAGAAGGCTGTGAATGTAGTAAATCTGATGGTTTCAAGTTATTCCAACTGCTATTCCCAGGCTAGCCACGTTTAACTGATGAACAGAATATCTTTTGATGGTGCAACCACTGTGCAAGGCAGTATGATGCTTTCTCAAAAAAGTTACAAACAGAGATACCATGTGACTCAGCAATTCCACTACCGGGAATAGACCCTAAATAAACCATAACAGACACCCAAGCGGATATATGCACACCCATGTTTATCACAGTTTTGTTCACAATAGCAAGGAGTTGGAAACAACGTAAGTGCCAATCAACAAACGAATGGATAGACACACTCTGGTATATTCACAGAATGGAATACTGCGCTGCATTGAAAAACAAGGAACTCATGCAATATTATGCAAAATGGGTGACCCCGGAGGACATGATGCTGAGTGAAATATCTCAGTCACAAAAGGACAAATACTGCATGGTGCCACTGCTGTAAAATAGGACTGACATCGGGGTTGCGGGGAGACTGAGAAAGATGGGTTCCATAATGTATACTGCACTGAAACAGATGAGGGAGAAAACGGTTTAAAAGGGACATGTGATTTGGTATTTTTGTCATGACAGGAGTCCAGAGCGAAGGCTGCATATTGGAGTGGACCTGGGGGGAGGGATTGTAAAGCAATGAAAGAATTTTTCTTTCACTTTTCCAAGAGGGAAGTGTACTGGGGGGGAGGTTTGGGAGGGAAGAAAATGCAACAATGAATGAATGGAAAGCCAAAGTCTCTGCAAATGTTCATTGAAATTCATAATAAATTTAAATTATGATAAAAAAGAATATCTTTTTGGAAAGGAAAAGCTGGTTCAAAGCCTAAGGATCAAAGCCATTGTGTTTACACACTTTCTAAATCAGAGCTGCAATATAACATTGTTTACACACTGGCTTTCTAAATCTGAGCTGCAATGTAACGTTGACACTAAATTCTGCAACCTCCTCATCTAAATGTCTTCCTGGGTGTAAGGAAAAGCATAGGCAGCCAGTTATATTTCCCCTCCTTTGGGCAGTCCAATTCTCTCACATGTGCAGCATCCCAGCCTTTACATCTTTCTCTCTCTAGTTTTCTATTCAAAGTCTCTTTAAGGCTTAGGTCAAAGTGTAACAAGACAGTAACAAGAATCATAAAGACAACAACGCAGTAACAATGTTAATAATCAACAGCAAATGTTTCCTTGGGTCTGACTGGCTTTTCCTCTCTGTCTCTGAAATACAATAATCAACAGCAAATGTTTCCTTGGGTCTGACTAGTTTTTCCTCTCTGTCTCTCTCTCTGAAATACCATAATCAACAACAAATGTTTCCTTGGGTCTGATTGGTTTTTCCTCTCTCTCTCTCTCTCTCTCTGTCTCTCTGTCTCTGTGTGTCTCTCTCTCTGAAATATGTAATAATCAACAACAAATGTTTCCTTAGGTCTGATTGGTTTTCCCTCTCTCACTGAACTATAATAATCGACAGCAAATATTTCCTTGGGTCTGATTGGTTTTTCCTCTCTCTGAAATATGTAATAATCAACAACAAATGTTTCCTTGGGTCTGATTGGTTTTTCCTCTCTCTCTGAAGTATGTAATAATCAACAGCAAATGTTTCCTTGGGTCTGATTGCTTTTTCCTCTCTCTCGCTCTGTCTCTCTCTCTTTGGGTCTGATTGGTTCTCTCTCTCTCTCTCTGAAATATGTAAATATAAAGACGTTGTCTTTTGCAAACTAACTCAAATTCAACTCCCAGGGTTAACCTCAAGTTGTGCAGGGCCCTTGCAGAAATGATCACAAATAACAGAGAAAGATGAGCATAATAGCGATCAGATAAGAGCTCAGAGCGGATGAAATGATTTTTCATTGGAATGACTCACAGCAGCCTCCTGCAGGGCGCTTGGGGGGACCAGCGCACCTTTCCTCCCCGCGACCTCACCTGCAAAGGCCGCGATCGCACCTGCAAAGGTCTCGATCCCACCTGCAAAGGTCTCGATCTCACCTGCAAAGGCAGCGATCGCACCTGCAAAGGCCTCGATCTCACCTGCAAAGGCCGCGATCGCACCTGCAAAGGTCTCGATCTCACCTGCAAAGGTCGCGATCGCACCTGCAAAGGCCTCGATCTCACCTGCAAAGGCCGCGATCGCACCTGCAAAGGTCTCGATCCCACCTGCAAAGGTCGCGATCTCACCTGCACAGGATACACCCCCGCCTCCACCCCGCGTCCAGGAGCCGCAGCGGCCGCTCAAGTGGCGCAGCTGGACGACCGGGACTCAGGACGAGACGCGGAGACTCAGGCCAGGAGTCTGCAGGCCACTGAAGACGGACCAAAATAAAGGAAAAGGCCGAAATGCACTTAGCGAGCAGAACAAAGGACCGGCCAGCGACTCGCGCAAAACAACTTCCGCTTTGGGGCTCGCTTGTGCTCCAGGGAAAGGCTTCCGTGCGGAAACACGGACCAAACCTTTGCTTCTGAGGGTTCTGTGATTTCCCTTACGGTTTGGTTTACAAAACTGGTTTATCTATATTTTGGGCTTGTTTTCCCACTAAGATAATGACGTTCTTTTTTTAAGTAGTCGGATTAAAAAAAAAGCCATCAAGCCGCTGCAGCAAGGAACAAAGCTCGTTATTCTCGTGAGAAGCTGCGTGATTGAACCCGGATACCTAACAAACACGGACACTTCCGCTATGTTTTTTTAGATGCCGTAGTGTTTGGACGAAACGGGCAGTGAAATTTGGGGATGCAAGTTTGTCAAGCACCTGCTGCTATCCCATCCTGGAATCCCATCCAATGGGATCACTGAACGGTGTCCTGCAGGGCTCCTAGGAATCCAAATGGAATTAAAGGCGATGCATTTGCATTAGGGTTTGCAATTTTTGTAACACATAGTGCTGCTTTGGTTGACCTGGGAGAAAGTAAAATGTTGGCCAATTTCACTTGAATGTTGTGACAATCTCATCTGACTACACACATTTTTATTCTTAAGGTCGACAATATTACAGTCTCATACAATCATGCACACATATTTTATTTCACACTGGTATTTACCAATAAGCAGGGTAATTAACTACAATTTCTTATCATTTGAATTCTGATCAAAGGAGCTCTGATGGGTGGCCTAGTGGTAAGATGCAGCGCTGCAATCCTGAAGGCACGCAGTTTGAATCCACCACCTGCCCTGCATAAGGATGGGCGATCTCATCCTTTTTAATTAACTACCTCTGAAAACCTGCTGGAGTCATGGGTCGGTTCTGACTTGATGTTCATCAATATCAACCAACTCATTAGGGTATGTGTTTTTCTTTTCCCAAGTTATTTATTAATTTTTGAATGTTGCATTGTTATTGATTGCCTTCGAGTTGAGCGAACCTATGAACAAAAGGCCTGAAGCCCCTCTACAACTATCACCATTTGTCAAAGTTCATAGTAATTTTTTTCCCATAGGTTTTAAAATCAAATTGTTTACAAATCAAATTGTTACTTCTAATACCCATTCAGAGAGGACTTAAAGGGTGAATTTTTGGTGATTGATGTAGTTAAATGAATATGATGTTTAATACGTTCCTTAGTTGTGTGTTGCCTTTTAAAATCTTGGGGAAAAATAATTGTTTTAAATGGACATACCACGGCTTCTAAAGATTTGTGATTATATTCACGGATGAACGTTAGAGAACAAACCACTCTAAATATGGTGAGATAGGTACTATACGAAAGTATTGGGGGGGGGAGTAACATTCCCAAACAATAAGACATCTTTTCATTTGTTTCTGTCAAGCCCATGTGAAGGGGATGTGTATGATTAATCACGTATGCAGATGACAACTGAGCTCTATAAATGTATAAAGCTGTTTTACTGTGAAAGCATACTTCCAGAGTTTCTTTGTTTATAGTATGTTGTATAGTATAGCACATAACAATAACATTTCCATGAGCACAATAAAGTTCTTTTACGTTGCCCGACAAAAGAGGAAGGTTTACTACTCGTGACAACACCCGAATGCTAAATGAACATGAAAACTTGTATTTTAGAAACGCTGAAGTGTGGTGTCTCAAGTAAGAGGATCCTCCTGGCTTTTGGTCGTTAACAAGTACTCAGGTGGAAACAACCCTTAAGTGATTTACAAGCACACACCGCTACATGCTAGAAAGACAAAACAGACTCCATGGAGATCATCACTGAAAATCCTGGAAGACAGCCTCGGTCAGGCAGGGATGGGACGAGAAAGAATTGAGTTCAGGGGAATTTATTAGCAGTATGGTTTGCAACTGATGTAATGAAACCATCTTCACCCCTTCAGCGACTGAAGGGAAAACCTGAATTAATCGCATCTACACAGGGGGGTGGGAGAGAAAAAGACCTGTAGGTCGATTTTTCATGGAAATACCTCCAAGAATGCTAAAGGGCGGTTCTGTTCCTTCACAAGGCTGCTATGAGTGGAAATCCACATGGTGTGTGAAGCAAATTTCCAGCAAGAGCAGGTAAGGTTCAGTTGCCTTGCAAAAAGGTAAGGCATTTTTCTCCCACAAACAATGAGGACAGACAAAGGGGACAATAGAATTCTTCTCACACAAGCAAAATATTAAAAGAAGGAAGAAAAAGAACAGTCATGCAGATTCAAACTAGTAAGAAAAAGAATTCCCACAATTGTCAGCACCAGTGGTCAGGAAATCAGAAGACGAATTCTATTAGAAAAATGTACTGACAGTGACCTCTCCAGAGTTCTGAGGAGCAAAGATGTGAGTCTAGATGCAAAGGTGTTCCTGATGCAGGACATCACCTTTGCAATCACTTGATATGCATCAGAAAGCTAGAACATTGACCAAAAATGTCAGAAGAAACAATGTGTTTGAGTTGTGGTGCTGGAGAAGAGTATGGACTTACCTTGGGATGCGAAGAGAACAGATATGTCTTGAAGAGAGTAAAACGAAGCTGTTGGGTTTATTTTTTTTTTCCCCTCCTAATTTTATCATTTTTGGTGTGTGCTGTCAAATCGGATCTGACTGGTACAGGAGGAGATTGCCCCTTCTTCTCCAGCAGAGCATCTGGTGGATTTGAACCATGTACCTCTGGGTGTTTCTTAAAGGCAGGATTTTAAGAATCTGTCCTGATAGACTTTGGCCATGTAGCCAGGGTGGGCCAGTCTTTGGAGGACATGATGCTTGGAAGGATGGAGGAACAGTGCAAGAGTGGAAGATCCCAGATGAGATGGACTAACTCAGAGACTGGGGGCAGAAGTGTCAGAGACACTTTCCCCAGGAGAAAACAGGGTTCAGAGCTATTAGACGTAGGTTCATGATGAGTTGCAAGCACATCGACGACACATAACAAAGTGGGTGGTATCATATAAACCATTATCTTCTTTTTGTCATCCTTAATCATTGTCCCACTCTAAGATCCAGAGAAAGCATCTGAGACGACTATGGTCTACAGCAGGGGCACCTTAGTTGCTCGAGTGATATCATTGCTCTTTCACACAGTGGAGAGGTCCCCGACAGTCAACTCTCCCAATTCAGCACTCTTCTTTGATTTCCTGAAAAAAGTGTTGATCCGGGCAAAGCGAAATTGTGAACCACCTCATGCGTTTCTCAGAATCAGGTTTGGTGGCATCATACACAAGGTGGTATGCTGATAATCATAAGACCACCCATCTTCAGGGGTTCAAATACACCATCCTCTGCAAGGGGGAAAAATGGACAGTTTCCTCCAATTTGATGTAAACTCTAAGTCAGTCTAGATACAAAGGTGTGCCTAATCCAGGCCACGGTCTTCTCAATGACTTGTTATGCTTCAGAGACCTGGACAATGACTAAGGATGATAAAAGAAGAATAGCTATCTTGGAGTTGTGGCGCTAGAGAAGAGTCTTGAACAAACCACGGACTGCCAAGAAAACAAATGGGTCTGTCTTAAAGAGGGTGAAACCAAGACTTTCTTTTTGCAGTCTAGGATTTTGAAGCTCAGCCTCATGTACTTTGGGCACATAGCCAGGAGAGATTGGTCCTTGGAGAAGGACACCATGCTCGGAAGGGTGGAGGGACGGTGTGAGAGGAAGACCCCGGAGGAGATGGATTGATACAGTAACTGGGGCTTTGGTGGTTGGTGTGTCGACGTTAGTGAGACCGGCTCAGGACACGGAAGGGTTCAGAGCTGCTGGACATATCATTGCCACGAGTCGCAAACGACTCAATGGCACATAAAAACAGTAACATACTGACAGGTTTAGAAGCAGGAGTGGCATCCACTTCCTAACTATCAAGCCTCCGTAAACTCTATGAACTTTGATAAATGCCCATCTTTGTAGAGAGGCTTCAGGACTTTTTGTTCATAGGGTCGCGATGAGACATGCTCAACTTGAAGGCAATTAAAAAACTAGAACATATGTTCAAATCATATAAATTCTATTTAAAATTTCTATACATTTTTATTGCTCTTGTTACCTATTCTGTAACAAAAATGTTAACTTCGTGACCATTAGGAAAACAAAATGTTGTGTGAAAGGGAGATAGCTCTGGGGCCTTGTGGCAAGAAGCTGCACTGCAATCCCAAAGGTAAATGGATCGAATCCACAAGATGTTCGACTGGAGAAGGAGGGGCAATCTCCTTCTGTGCCAATCAGATTCAATGTCAGGATACACGAAAAGAAAGGGGTGGGGGTGGGGGGAAATTGACTGTATAACAGGCCCTGATGGTACAAAGATTACCAAGTGCGGTCTCAAGTTCTACAACAAATAATTCCTTGCTGTCAGGTCAAAAGCAAACCACAGCTGTTTGAAGAGTAAGACTTGGAGAGGTGGCAAGTCACACGGGACTGTGCAATCCAGAATGTAAATGCATCCTCTTGGTCCTGCAATGCTGTTACTGTATTCCAAATTCCAGAAAGATTCACCCTTAGGCAGTGTAGCCCCAAATGGAGTTACATAAAGCTTGTTACAGTCTAGGTAACAAGTGGTCCCTTAAGTCTACCTTGGCTGAGCTGCACATACAAAGATTACTGTTGCAGACCAAGGGTCCCAAATGATGGAAAAATTTTATACTTATTAATAATGAGACACACAGCCAGGAATGAGATATCTCAGAGAGCATAAATCAGGGGGCCAGTGGTTCTCCACGAAAGATGCCAAGCCAAGCTTCTTTGTATCTTTATTGAAAATTATCAGGAGGTAAATCACAAAGAGAATTCAATGCAAATGAAACCAAGCTCTATTGAAAACCATCTGCTTGACTCAGGAGGGAGGGGTTGGCACATGCAAGAATTTGGTTTACCCTTAATTATTAACCTTGATGCCTCAGGGTGAACACTAGCTCTGGAAGTCACACTCCCTCTGCAGGGGGTGCCTTGCTGTCTCCTGTCTGCAGAGAACAAACAGTTCATTTTCTGGGATCTACCACAAGAGAAATGCTTACTGACAAATGTGTAATTCTTTCAATTCCTTAACAAGGGTTTTCATATAATACTTGGTATAAAGTTTGGCTTCCCATAGATAAAAAACCCACACCACCCTTTAGGGATCACTGACTACATCATACGGAGATGGTAGAGGTCAAATCTATTATTATGTTGACTAACAAAAAATGGAACGAGAAGAATGGGAATCCCAGAACACTTGATCATTCTAATGTGAAACCTATACTTGGACCAAGAGGCAGTTGTCAGAACAGAGCAAGGGAACACTGCATG